GCCACCTAAATTAGGACCCGGAGACTGCCAGATGACCCCGCTCGGAGCGCCGCACACCGAGCAGCAGTGACGCGACGCTCGGCGAGGTAAGTAAGAAGACGCGCTGGCGCTGACTCGAGTATAAGCCGAGGGGGGCACTTTTCACCCAAAAAAATGGGCTGAAAATCTCGGCTTATACTCGAGTATATACGGTATATATATACACACATACACACTGATGCGACATGAACACAATGATACGTACAGTAAGATTTCCTGCTTCGTCAGGTACGTCAGTTCCTAAACAAAAGAAATCAAACAATTAATAAAATAATCCGGACAAATACAACACATAAAAGTGAACGCAGCATCTGACAAATCGCCGCCAGTTACTGGAACTCCAGACAAAACCGGTTTCCTTTTTTAAAGCTGAACTCCGGCCTTCCCTCTGGTCTAGCACAGTTGTCCCGGCTCCTCTCCTGGACTGTAATCGCTCCTCCAGACTGACCCAACAAGGCATTGTGATATTTGCATTACTTCTTCCAACAGCCAACCCATTGCTTCCACCCGGGATGTGTGGCTTCGATAGAAGTACTGAAGCAGGGTGTTGTGATGTTATCAGGAAGCTAAATACAGCACTCTGCTGCCCCTCCCACCAGCCACAATCTGCCTACATTACATAGAGAATCACAGACACCCAGTGGCGTTACTGGGGCTAAAATAAAGTCTGCAATAAAAGCGGAAGGATTTTATTTAGAAATGTCATTAGCATGTTGATGAGGGGAGAGAGCAGGGAAGGTGAAATATAAGCACATAAAACATCATCTTAAGTTTTGGGTAGAGTAGGAAAGGTTTAGAACCCCCGTAAGATTTCCACTAATACTATGTCTCCTGGTTACCATTATCACTAGGGATGCACCGATAACGGATCTTTGGTATTGAGTACCGATATTTTTTTTTTTGGGTACTCGCCAATACCAAATACCGGAAGTCCCATTAAGGAAGTTGGGCGGCGTGCAATGAATCGCTGCCCAGCTTCCTGATTAGCCGGCTCCATGCTCCCTCGTCACCAGGTGAAGAGAAAGCATGGAGCCGGTAAGCCAGCTCCATTCTCCTTGGTGAAGAGGGGCGTGTGATGACTTGCCGCCCGACTTCCTAATACAGGAAGTTCCGGTATCGGGAGCATTTGGGTGAGTACGAGTACTCGTCCAAATACTCGGCATCAGCACTGATACCGATACTAGTATCAATGCATCCCTAATTATCACTGTGACAGAAAGTGACTGGAAATCCCACATTTTACCCTTGTCACCAGAACAGGAGAAGAGGAACAGGACAGGAAGTGAAGGGACATTTCCCTGCTGGAGACAAAGATAGAAGCAAAAACCTAACAGAAGTCCAAACCTTGGGAGTTCAATTTGAATAAAATAAAACAAAGAAAAGTGACATTGAAATGATATTATTATAATATACAAAAGCCACAGCAATGAACGTTAAGCTTCGTCACAGATTGAACCTCATCGCAGTTATAAAATGTTATTTGTTTAGAGATGAGAGCGTACAAACATAGACTGCTCACTAACACTTACAGGGTTCCTCACTAACACTTACAGGGTTCCTCACTAAAGGGTGAAGAGTTTGGGAAGGCAGGAGAAGGGAACAATCTAGGACAACATAGCTGAGCTGGAAAGTGATCTGAATTAGAGAATATTTCCAGTTCAGCTATGTTGTCCTAGATTGTTCCCTTCTCCAAACTCTTCACCCTTCTGTGCATAATCCTGTAAATAAATAACTTCCTAACATTTCCTGCTACATTATGGACATAGTTAACTGCTTGGCGTCCTCCCCTCATATATAAAACAGACAGACGGCATGCTCCTCCCAGCCGATCACCGTAAATACATGGATTTTCCTGACACCAATACATGGCAGCATACAATGGGTATGGCTCCACCCCCAGCCCATTGTATGCTGCCATGTATTGGCGTCAGGAAAGGAAAATTACCGATAGGTAAGTATACAATTTTCCGTTTTCCTGACACCAATACATGGCAGCATACAATGGGCTGGGGGCGGAGCCATACCCATTGTATGCTGCCATGTATTGGCGTCAGGAAAGGAAAATTACCGATAGGCAAGTATACAATTTTCCGTTTTCTTATTCCTGCTCGCGCACGCCTCCATAAAACATGTTAATCAGCCAGCAACGCCCCCCACATGCACACGCTTATATGGCGAGTGGGAGCTTGTGCCCCTACATACACACACATACATAGAGACACACGTCAGGTGCGCCAAAATACAAAAAAGATGATTGGGCCACACGTTACATATCGCTGCAAACGTCGCAGTGAGAGCAATAATTCCAGGCCCATCAATCACTGATAACACCAAACTGATGAGCGGTAACAGCTTTTAAAGCGTCGCCTATGGGAAATTTAGGGTATGGTAGTTTTTTGCGATTACACGGGCTCACGCAATTTTAAGACTTAACATGTTTGGTGTCTATTTACCCGACGTGACCTTGTTTTTTATATTTTGCCAAATATTTGGGTAATGTTTGATAACGTAACGTAGGGAAAACAGTTTTGTTTTTTTCCCCAAAATGTGCAGTACTTTTTTCATTATAGTAAAAAATAAAAACCGCAGTGGTGATTAAATACCACCAAAAGAAAGCTCTATCTGTCCCCAAAATATGGTATTAAATTCATTTCAGTACAGCGTTGCATGACGGAATAAATGTCAGTCAAAGTACCGCAGCGCTGAAGGTTTGGCCATAGTTCTCTTTTAAAGGACCTCATGGGGGGGGAGGGGATACACAGACAATTCAGATGTATTGCGCTGTCCGGGAAGCCGCAGGTGTTCCATACAGCCGCCCATGGACATCAGTGACTATACGTTTGTAATTTATTAAACTCGAACATGCGTACGAATGTGCAGACTGCCTGCGTTAGTGTTCAGATGCATATATGTGGTTGTTATAGTACTAGTGAACACCTAGCGTACAGCCATTGATGTGTATGGGCAGCTGTACGGAGCACCTGTGGCTTCCCAGGCTACAAAATACATTGGAAGTTTACATGTTGGGCCCTTTGCACCGTGTACATAAAACCAGCATGGATGTGCGTATGTCACACCTTGGCATCCATTACAAAGTGTATTGTACTGTATGTTCACAACATGACATGGGCACTGACATGCATTGTGATGTCATTTCATTACACTGGCTTCCACTCGCCCAAAGGATCAAATTAAAAATATAAAGCCATCCACAACTCTGACCCCGTATACATCTCAAACTTTGTCTCAAAGTATCACCCTAACCGTCCCCTCCACTCTTCCAACCACCTCCTGCTCTCTAACTCCCTTGTCAACTCCTCCCATACTCCCCTCCAGGACTTCTCTAGAGTCTCTCCCATCCTATGGAACTCTTTACCCCAACCTGTCCTATCTCCCACTCTGACTGCCTTTAGGCGATCCCTTAAGACTCATCTCTTCAGTGCTACTTTGTAATTATAATGTCTTCCTTATATTGTAAAGCGCTGCGCAAACTGTTGGCGCTATATAAATCCTGTATAATAATAATAATAATAATAAATCCAGCCTAACATGAGGCAACTATGGCTGAGCTCAGCGTCAGATGCTGCCTGTCATCCTGATCCCACAGCTTCAATACCTCCAGACACTGATAAGGATTTCCTGTGCTGGGTCAGTAACTCAAACACTGAAACCAAAGTGTCAGCATGACAGCCAGGCAGGTAGCATTTTCTGGATTATGTCATATCAGGGTTGTATTTCTCACAACATGACAGGTTCACTTTAAAACTTCACAATGACTGTTGGAGCCAGAAGACTCCCAGTGACAGGAAGTTGTCAGGTTGCAGCCTACTACAAGGCCCAGCATGGCCGCCCAGAGACACACACGTACCTGATACTCATTGATCAGATCCTTAGACAGCTGGCTGGATGAGCCCCCCATACTGGACACCTCGAACACTTCACACCGCAACTTCTCCCGACTCCAACAACTTCAGCAACAACTTCCGTGTGTGACGTCACCGTCACTAGGGGAAACAAGCGATTTGCATGTCCCTGGGGGCCCCGCCCCAAATAGGTGTGAAGGTCGGCCCCTGCCCAAAGAAGGCGTGACCTGGGTGGGGGCTGTACCGTGTTTCTGTATTCAGGCTCTGATAGGACACTACAGTCTGGTGTGTGGAATGGAACGTACAGCTGTTGCTAAAGGTATACACAGTCACGTGACGTAAAAACCGGCCATGTGGAGGTAACAACCATCCGGCACATTGCCGGCGGAGGTTAAAACTAGTAGACTGTAATACATGTAGGTAATCTCTTATTAATTCCAGAAAGTTCGGCTACAAAGTTCCAGTGCGTGTTCCAGAAGGAAGACGGTGCAGTCGTTTAAAGGGTGGCGTGCATTTCTATGAATCGTTCTGTGTTAGTTTTAGGACACCCCTCGTTTGTGATGTTGGTATGTTCCTAGCAGGAAGTAAGAGGAAGATGACAGCTCTAGACTATGAATGGTGAGCCTCCACTCTTCTAACATACAGGTAACCCAGTTCTATGTTTATTCCTGGCTGCTCCTCGTAGACACAGTCACTGATTACTTAGATTAGACAGTCACAGTCATGTGTTTTACATGTTATACACAAATACATAGTATAATCAGACATGGTGAGAAGGGACTACAGCAGAGGTCAGCAACCCCCTGGGACATGTGCCAGGGATGGCACCTAATGCATTTTCTGCTGGTACGCCACAAAGCTTGTATGTGGGAGTTGTACAACTCAGGCATCTTTGCAGCTGAGTCGCAGCTTCTCTCTCTCTCTCTGCCATTTGATTGACAAGCCAGGAGGGAGACTAAGGTTGATTGGTCGGCTGGATTTAGCAGCGCCCCAGCCCACGGTTCTGCAAGGGGCGATCAGGGGACAAGGAGATTGGCTGAAGGAGAGCAAGGATGGTGCAGAATTAGCAGGAAGTAGCTCCCATGGGAGAGACACAAAGAAGCGGCTGCTGAGCCTCGAGGTTTTCAGCTGTGGGGTGGCTTTGGTGGGGGTCAATGTTCCTGTGAGGGCTATAATGGGGCTTTGTAAGTTTTATGAAGAGAGGGTGAGCGTCAGGTCCATTATACAGTATGACCTCTGTACACACCTGTCTGGCATTTTAATTCCAAAGACCAATAAAACGTCGGGCGTTTTCCTCAGGTAGGGGCCAACCTTGAGTTTTCCTGAACCTTGAAGGATGCTGTCATTGCAGCAGACCCAATCAGCTACGGCCAGGGCATTCCCTGTCCTGCAACTGCACATAAAGGGGCGGGATGCTGGTAACATCATTGACCTTATATGGCCATATTAGGTCAATGTCATTGACCAAGATATCACACGTTTCTAGCAACAGAGACCCCCCACCCCCATTTTGCCAAACTATGCACTACAAGGTTTTGGGGTGGACATTAGTTTCAGGCCACCTCTGAATTTAAGAGGTATGTGCTAGAATCTGCATTTCCTTTGAACTGTCATTTGAAGGACAACCGCACTTTTTGTACCCCCCTATAGTGGATTCCCCAAGGGTAAATACCTGCTGCCCCATTTCTGAGACTCATATGAATCAATGGGGACTGCAATACATATGCACAGGGACTGTTCTCAGGAGTGGGGCAGCAGAAAACATTTACTCATGGGAAACCCGGGATGGGGAAGGAGGGCCATAAAGGATAACTTCACTTTTAGAGCCCGTTTACACCAGATGTTAAAGGGTGCCCAGCACAGCATAAAACATCAGCTGTCTAAATTATTATTATACAGGATTTATATAGCGCACGCAGTTTGCAGAACTTTACAATATAAGGAAAACATTACAATCACAATACAATTCAAGACAAGATGGTAAGGAGGGCCCTGCCCGTGAGGGCTTACAATGGCTCTACTGATAATTTTGACTTGTGTTTTCCTTCTTTATGTATTCTTTATTTATAGAAATAAGAAAAGGTTTTAACATACACCAGAAGTAAAGTGACATACATGTAATCTTTTGGACACAGTATCCAAAATGTAACAAACGTAATAAGTCCACCATATAGAATGGTATAACACTAGATGGTAATAAAGACTGTGTGACAATCACAGTGTCCCATTGCGCAGTGATCATAAACAGAAAGGAGGGGACCAGAGGCCCTGTTTCCTATGTCTTAGTAGTTTATGGGTCAATAAAGGGGGTAAGTAATGGGCACTGGGTAGGATGTGTCATGCCGGGTATGTGGGCAAGCAGAAATGTGGTAGAAAAAAAAACGGGGGGGGAACGTGGTATAGGGGGGACACCTCTCCTCAATCTAGGGGCGCCCCTACACCATTTTTTCATAATTTGCTGTCTGAATTGCAAAGATGTTATGATCTGCTCCTTTAATAACATGAACACATATTTAATGCTGGACTTTAATAGTACTCAGTCTGACACATATGTTCGTTTAATTCATTTTGTTTTAATAAAGCAACTTAATTCCATAAAAAACATTTCTCATGTACATATACAATCCTGAAGATCAGATCACACAATCTTTACAAATCCTGAGGGATAACTCCCACATACACTGGGCTGGCATTTCCATGTGTTAGTCACTAAATCATAATTGTCCAATCCTTATCACAGAACAACATATTACATACCAGTACTCCCAGTGTCATGAGGGTAAAGTTTAACGTAATTCCAGAGACCTTTCTAGTCAGCTTCTTCTGGAGTCCCTCAGATAATCATAAAACATCATCTCTTAAAACAGTATTTAAGTTTGAACGAGATGGTCCCCCAAAACCATCACATAAACCTCCCTTCTTGTGGACATGAAAGATCCAAAGGGGGATAAGGGAGAGGATCTTCTAGCTATCCAAGGGGTCATGGATTTCCATTAAGATGCTGCTCAGTGAGCGGCCATATCCCAATAATCCCCCGGTACATCAAGAACTTCACCCTTTATAGATTAGGTCCACTTTCCTTGTTCTAAATATTATAGCACAGAGGACTATGGGTGATGACCCCACAGGAGTCATGAACGTTTGACAGGAGAATTGGAGCCTTTTGAATATTGTATACCTTATCTGCACTGTAATTTTATATTGTATATGTTCATGAGAGGTTTTCATGAAATTACATTTTTGTTTAATAAAATGAAATAAATGAACATATGTGTCAGATTGAGGCAGGTTGAAGTCCAGCTTTGAATCTGTGTTCATGTTGTAATATATTTTGCTGTGGTACTACACCCTCAAATATTAACAATGTACTTTTGCTCCCTTAATAAAACATGACACACTAACAATCATTTTGTCTTAATAGGCAATAAAAGCAAAATTACAGGGAAAGATTTCAAACCATGGAGCTGAAATGCACATCCGGTCCTAATGGAAGAACCATGGAAGAATATAAATATTCTAATGCAGATTTTAAAATACCGGGCATCACTTGGCAGAAAAGAAGAGAATATGCAGACAATCAAGACTTCCTTTCTGCCTTTGATAAAGCCCTGAGATGTAAATGGGCAGAGAAAATGGAGCAGGGGCTCTTCCGCTACCCGCTGTGGAGCTTGCAGACAAGGATCTTGCCAGGGAGAGTGAAATATGTCGCACAGCTGAACATCAAGAGAGGTATAGAGAGGAGAAAACCTCAGGACATTAGGAGTATCCAAGAGAAATTCAATCCCAGCCAATTCAATTTTAGTAAAATTAGGTCGGAGGAAACTTTGTTTGAAATGGTTAGATCACCTCCAGGAAAGGCTGCTGAAAATGAAGATGCATGTCTACAGAATAATCATGTAGTCCCGGATAGGTTTGTAGACTCCAGGTTGAAGAAAGGTTGGCATAGCCGAACTCTTGTTGTGATTAATGTCAGCCCTCTGGAATTTGGACACGTTTTATTTATTCCAGAACCAACTCTTTGTCTAAATCAGATCCTGATTCCAGATCTAGCTCTTTTTGGGATGGAGTCCATACTTCTTAGCGGCCACCCTGGCTTCCGAGTTGGCTTTAACAGCCTGGGTGGATTTGCCTCAGTGAACCATTTGCACTTACATGGGTTTTATCTGGATGAAGAGCTTCTGATAGAATCAGCATCCTGCAAGCCTTTGTGTCCCAAAACTAACTTCTACCTCCTGACTGACTTCCCTGCTCCTGGGTTCTTGTTTTACACAGATGGGGAAGACTTGGTATCTCTATCTCAGAGAGTGTGCAGAGTTACAGACTATCTTGTAGATAGAAATATTGCACATAACATCTTTTTAACCAGGGGTTGTGACCCAGGGAATACAGGCTGTCCTGAGTCCAGAGAAGGGATCCGTGTGGTGATCTGGGCAAGAAAGTCGTGTTTTGGCTCCAAAGAGGAATCGGCATTTAATGTTGCACTTTGTGAACTTGCAGGCCACCTACCATTCAAGAATCAAGAAGACTTTATTAATATGTCAGAGGAGTCTGTTATTGCCATCATTAAGGAGTACCTCTTCTCAGATGAGGAGTTCAGGATTTTATGTATGGAGTTAGCTGAACATTTAACATCCTGAACTTATGGAGAAACTCATCCCTTAAAATATTATTTTTCCAGTGTTCTGGGCTCCGGTTTATGATGACTTTACATGGGTAGGTTTTTTTTTTGGCCACTGGACTGAAGTGTTAAAGCTGAAATCCAGGCAAATGCCTAAATACACAGATACAATATGTATAAGTGAACTATTTGACTGTCAAAGAATTTGTATGTCTGTCCATCCAGATCTAAGATATAAAAAAAGAACTCCAGGTAGAAAAAAAAAGCAGGGAAGTGTCTTGCCTTGCTGTGCCTGTGTGTTTGTGGATAGACGCACAGCTTACTAGCACACACAAGGGTGGCTCCATAGGACCCTGCAAAAACAGGATATCAGGGCCAGTGCTCAGGGGACAAGCTGATTCTCCAGAATCTAATGTAAAACATCAAGGAGCGGCATCCATTGCAAGTGAAATCATCAGCATTTAAAATATCTTTAAAACATTTTGACTTGAACCACTTCCTGTCTGGCCGTTGTAATTAAACAGCCGGACAGTGTCTTCTTGAATGCAGGTGGGCATTTTAAAAAGTCCTTTTCCTGCTACTGCAGCAACAAACTGCCTGCAGTTTGAACAGCCGGCGATGGCTGTTTATATACAAACATTCGGGCGGCTACAGAACTGCCCATGCGCTTGTATGATTAGTGCAAATGTGCGGCGCCCCATCCGCCGACACCTATTCTGGGTTTCGCTGTACGGGACCAGCACGGCGGCTCTCTGAACGGAGATTGGAGGGAGATCAGCACACGATTTCCCGCTGATCTCCTCTCCGGTGTCTGAATGCAGAAGTTATGTGTATTACTATCACTGGATATTTGCTATCACATAGGGGGATTTTTAGTCCCCTATGCGATAGCAATAAAGTTACCGTATTTTGCGGTCCATAAGATGCACCGGACCATAGGACGCAGGGAGGTCCGGCGCGCCTTATGGAGCACTCGACAGACTGTAGCTTCTGTCACAGCTTCTATGACAGAAGCTGCAGTTAGTGACCGCTGAGACAGGTGGCGCTGTGATCACACAGAGCAGACGAAGAACTTCCGTTCTTCGTCTGCTCTATGGTAATCTCGATCGTCGCCGCTGCTCGGTTTTAATACGAGTGATCTCATTAGATCATTCGTATTAAACGAGCAGTGGCTCCTACTGCTGAACTCGATCGCCGCCGCCGCTGCTCGGCTTTAATACGAGCGACCTCCTTAGATCACTCGTATTAAAGCCGAGCAGTGGCTCCTACTACTCGCCCGGCGCCCGAAACTGCACGTCTCAGGCGTCGGGATTCGCTCCATAAGACGCAGGCACATTTTCCCCCTCCTTTTGGGGGGAAAAAAGTGCGTCTTATGGAGCGAAAAATACGGTAAGTGAAAAAAAATGTAACTAATGTTACGTATCACTGTGGATGTCGGAGTGTGAGCAATAATTCCAGGCCCATCAATCACTGATAACATTAAAGTGATAAGTGATAGAAGCTTTTAAAGCGTCACCTATGGCCATTTTTAGGTATGGTAGTTTTTCCCATTTTAGCAGGCACGTGCAAATTTAAATTTGTTGTCTATTTACCCGACGTGACCCCATCTTTTATATTTTACCAAAAATCTGATTAATAATAAACATTTCATAACATACGTAGGGAAAGCAGTTTTTTTTCAGAATTTTTGTTACTTTTTTCTTTATATTGTAAAAAATAAAAACCGCAGTGGTGATTAAATACCACCAAAAGAAAGCTCTGTCTGTCCCCAAAAAATTATATAAAATTAATTTCAGTACAGCATTGCATGATTGAATAAATGCCAGTCAGTCAAAGTACCTGAAGTAGCGCTGAATACTGACAAATAACATCCCAGTCTTCAAGTGGTTAAAAAGAAAGCCGATGTGCCCATTACACCACAAATTCTGCCTTTTCTTGTATTTTGTGGCCACTCATATCTACTTTTTACTGTAATATGAATCTACAGACTTGCTCATTAATTATTAAGAGTTTTCAGAATGCTGATTTGCCTTTTATTAAAGCTGAACTCCAGCCTTACCTTCAGTCTTGCACATTTGTATAGGCTCCTCTCCTGTACTGAAATTGCTTACTCTGATTTCATACAATTCACAACCAGACTAAAAGATTACAAAGCCCACCAGCAGTTTGGAGTCCCCAGTAAGGATTAATATTCCACAAAGAGTGGCACCAGTTGGTGGGACTCAACAAACCTTCTAAACCTGACAAATTTAATTTAAATCTCTGTACATTTCTAATTAAAGGTTCTGGATCGGAGAGACAGAGCAGTCAGCGCTGGATCGGAGTGACGTCACACCGCTGGAGGGACAGATGGAAAGAAGAGGAAGATCGGAAAAAGAGACATCATTTAAGGTAAGTGCTAACATTTACATTGGGGGGAGGGAATTTTTTTTGCCTTTAATGTCACTTTAAGTATGACCACTATGCTTACCCATAAAAAACCGGGGTACGCAAAAAAAAAAAAAGCCACTAGTGGTGAAGGTGGTTCGGTTGGAGGGTGTTCCATGCACACGCTCAGTTTACTGTGCCTTTGCCTGCTCCTGTGGAGTGATCTCCCCGCCGCCTCCCAGATAGTTCCAGCTCTGACATAACAGCCAGAAGGCACCAAGGAGACTGAGATGGAGAGAGAGGGTGAGGGTAAATACCACCTGCATGCATGCTGGGGCCTGGGGGGGGCGTGGGTCCCAGTGGGGGCTGGAAACATAACAGGCATGGAGGCTACTGTAGTACTTCATATATCACACAATAAGGCTTTTAATTTAACTCTTAGTGTATGATTTATCAAGTGGTACAGTACATGGATATATTAGAAAAATCTTAAAACTTACTGCAAGATATATTCAATTAGTGGATCCATATGTAGGAATTTACATACACAAGGCTGAATTTGTGGAATATTTTTGGTGCCTAGTGGATAGGCACCAAAAATAGTAATGCCAAAACCTTCCACTGACATGGTATCTCTAACTGATCTAGCTAGAGTGGCCACAATGACTGGGCGATAATGTTTTTTAAATTTAAATAAGTAATTGAGTATGATAAGTAGGGATGCACCGATACCGTTTTTTTTCGTACTCGCTGATACCGGTGCCGTGTGCCCTGATTATGAGGAAGCCGGATGGGGATCAGGAAGCCGGCCGGTGGGTCATGAGGTGCTGCCCTGCTTCCTGATTGGCTAGGAAGCCAGCTTCACTTGTTGCTAGGCAGTCTGTCTTCGTGACCAATTAGGGAGGCGTCTCATGATGTGCCACCCGGCTTCCTGATTGGTTAGGAAGCCAGGCTGCCTAGCAAAAAGTGAAGCCGGCAATCAAAGCTTCAGGCTCCCAAGTTCCAGTATCAGCGCATCTGGCAAGCACGAGTACTCGCCCAAAAACGTGGATGCTAGTATCAGTATCGGTGCATCCCTATTGATAAGTGTCTCTTAAAGATACTGTTCTGTCCTCATAATTCTAAAGGAAATTAAACATAGTAAGTTTAAATGATAACAATTTCAACGACAAAGTATCATTCTCTCCCCAGGAAATTAACATTGTTAAAACAGTCTTAACAAAAAGCAGATTTCATAGCCTTGGAAACGGTCCTGTTGACCGTGTCATCCATCATAGCACGCAATTGTTCCTCACCAAGCTTCTACTCTCTCTCTCTCAGAATTGGGACCCTCTGAGGTCATAATGTGAAGTATAAAAGCAAACCAAATGGGGAAAAATCCACCAACACTGACAAAACAAGTACACTCCTCATCAATAATGTCACAGCTAAGTCAGTCAGATGTATTACTGAGGGAAACAAAAAATCATGCACGTGACGTCAGCGCAGGAAAGGGTGCCTCTCGAGAGTCCGGCGGACATATATAACGACCGACTGTAGCAGGTGATCATAACGGAGCCACCCGCTTCATCTGAAAGAAAAAAAAAATGTGAAAAGTGAACACAACCATCAGGTCTCACATATAGCAGGGGGAGGTGGAAAGGGTAGAAGATGTGAAGGGAAAAAAACATATGTATAGATCTTTCAAACTGAAGCTATAAACCCTTTGCGTGTGTTGAAAAACTCCATGACTGTAAGAGAAGCAGAAAATTGGCCCTAAAATTATTGCTTTCACTCTTGTGCACGTGGCAATACCCAATATGTGGAGTGCGATCGTCGTTTTCATGCATAGGTGCATCCAATGTGTGTTTATCTTAGTATGTGGCAACCTTGGATGTATTATACTGTCCATATCCTGTGAAGTTTTCTATTCTCTATCTTTAGTTTTTTATTCTACAGTTTGACAATAACATATCCCCCGCTTTCTTCTTCTCCTACTACACTGGCTTTTCTTTCTCAGAATTTCTACAATATCTCACTCCTTTTGACTCAACTTTTGACTCAGTACATCTGATTGAACCCTAATATCCCTTTTAACCATCCCTATTGAGAAGGCGCTTACTAGAGAATATCCTTCAACCGCCTATATGATTGATTACTCACCATTGTTTAATCTACTGTAATATATCAGATTGGGTTGAAACTGACTGAAATTTATAAAGTGAGTGTTGTACCCTATGCCTCTATTTACATTGCCTTAATGGGCATCCCTTGTATTTACAACATTCAACAAAAGACATGTAAAAGATATGTGGGTAGAAAAGGGTATAAAAAAAAACTCCTGCTAGACACCAAGTATTCTTAGGCCCCATTCACACTGAGGGACATGGGTATTGCCCGTTTTTCCGCGCGATTTCATGCTGAACGTCTTTGAGCTACATTGCGCGATATTGAGCGACAGTGCACATTTTATCGCGCTACATAGCGTGTTTTTGGGGCGGGACTTCGTCGCTGCTACATTGGGCTGTAACCAATCAACAGTGATCTTGATGTGACATCGTTCTTTCCTTACATTTTGCAGTGCAAAAGCGACCCTTCTGTCGCGCGATATTGCGCGCAATATCGCCGGTAATGCGCGATTTCGTGTGACACCATTGAGTCTATTGGGGCCGAATCGTGC